TTGCTGCGTTTCTAATGACAATTATGTATGTTTGGAACAATGCATATTGGAAGAAGTATTATTATGAACTTCAGCACAAGATTTCGCCCAATAAGCTATACGAGATAATTGTTGACAGAAATTGTTGTGGGATTCCTGGACTGGCTATGTTCTACTTAGAGCTTGTTCATGGCATCCCACCTATCTTCCAACATTATGCCATGAATGTACCTGCATTGCACTCAGTTCTTGTCTTCGTTTCTCTCAAATCGCTACCCATTAGCAAGGTCCCCATGGAGGAGCGATTCATTTTCCATAGGGTAACTCCGAATGAGCTTAATGTGTTTCATTGTGTTGCGAGATACGGATACACAGATGTATGCAATGAAGAAGAATCCTTTGAGAGAATGCTAATTGAAAAATTGAAGGACTTTATAAGAGACGATTATATGATTCTCTCACATGCAAAAATGAATACCGCGAAGATTACTGAAGTGGATGGTGAATTGCCTGGCCGATTAGACAATGAAGAGAATGTGAATGATGATGTAATTTGAGAAGAGAATCTACAAGTGGAAATGGAGAGAGATATAGAAACTGTAGAGAAGACATGGAATGCTGGGAATGTTCACTTGGTTGGTGAGAATGAGGTGGTAGCAGCAAAAAGGTCTAGCATTGGGAAGAGGATTATGATAGATTATGCATACAATTTGTTGAAGAATGTCTTGAGAAAAAGTGATAAAGGATTTGACGTTCCTCACAGGAAAATGCTCAAAGTGGGAATGACTTACGAACTTTAAATTACCCACAAGATGACTAAGCTGGTGGAATAGAGCCCTTGAATTGAACAGGTAGCTGAAAAATTATCCGTTAGAAGTTCAGTTTTCAGTTTTAGCATACTTCAATTAGTAGATGGTGGTCTCTTCGCATAGGCAATTACATTTGCTTACAAGTAAAATAGTTTTGTTAAGTAGATGGAACTTAATTTCCATACATTCAAACCCTTTCTTTTTCTCATTAAGATTTTTTATTTTTAAATACTTTTATATCTTAGATTAATTATATCATGATCTTTATGTTTAAATTCTCCAACTTTCTCCTTCATAGCACCTATATATATATATAGTGATTAATAATATGTACATACTCTTCTTCCTTTTTGCTTTCTTTCCCAAAAATTCTCTCATTCACCAAACTGTAACATAGATTGATATACATGAATCCATCAATATACATATATTAAGTTTTCTAGTTGGGATGCAAATCAAAATTATGTTACAGACTTCTAATAATAAATTACATATTTTTCATATATGCATTATACTCTCATATGTCAACACGAGAACAAGATTTGATCATGTTCTCGTGTTGACATATGAGAGAACAATTTTCTTCTCATATGTTATAAAAATTCAATGATGTACAATGAATTTACAGCTTTTATTACTACAGGGTCATATTTTATGGTATTATAGATTCTATAACACTTATGAATGCAAATCAAACACAAAGTAAGGGAACAAAGCTATATCATATTTGTCATTGGCTTGTAACACAATGAAGGTATACTTGAGGAAAGGGATCAAGGTCCAGGTATAAAAGATCAGGGAAAACACCCCTAAATTGTCATCTACACCTTTTAGAGCATTGGCGTAGTGTATGTAGATCTTGGTATTCATATTCCCAACCACATTCACCAATGGTGTGAATCATGTAGGTGACATTTTGGGTGTGCTTTCTCCGATCTTCTATACCCTAACCTTGATCCCTTTACTCAAGTATACATTCGTTTTGTTACGACCCAATGACAATGGTGATGGTAAGATTTTAAAATTCTTGCCATATATCCATCCTTTTGAGTTCCTCCATGTTTGACTTGTGACATAAAGTATATTTTTCTTCTAGTATGTTTCACCCGTTTCCCTTCCGAACTTAGGAATATCTTATAATTCTCTTTAATGGTGGGACATCCCTCCATGAATATTTTGAAGCCGCCCTTTCCACCACCGCAAAATCCAATGAGTGGATTGACAACTCTTAAAATTTTAAACTCCCACACAACAAATTTACTGTTCCTTCACGATCAAACACTACCCAGCCGATATACATTCCCCTGATTTCATTTACATCATTTGCCGTTCGTTGGAAAACAAGCGGAAAAGGAAAACTTGCATTTGGTTATTCGACACGGAACATCCTACAAGTCCAATGGACAAAGTAATTACACTAATATGTGGTAGGTAACTCTCTTAGACTCAAACACAAGATCCTTTGGATATAGTTAATCCCAATTGTTAAAGGGTTTGTCATCCAACCTTTGGGTATATGTTCTTTGTTTATTATCGATTAGGATAGTTTACTAAAATATTATCTAATACAATAATTTATTGCAAAATAATGAAAAAATCAGTATTTAATCGGTCTATTATATCGCATACAGTCAATCTTCTAGGATTATGATTTTTATGACCAAATTTAATATAGGGATTAAAATTTCAAAATCCATAACCATCAATGATATCTTTTAGGTGGGACACTTGCTCTATACTCTCTCCTTTGTCGTTATGCCAATGTGGGATTGATCCCTAATCAACAAGATGAGGACTCCAATGTGTCAAATTTCCATTTTAAGTTACCTAATGATAGCAAACGTATGAGATTGACTTCAGAAACTCAAGTCTGAGATAGAGAACAGTCACTTTGAGAAGATGTTCCTATTATTAATTACTTTGCTTGTTACTTCCATGGTGATCGGTGACGGTATCCTCGCCCCTTGTATCTCAGGTTTGCTCAACTTTTTATTTATTCATTTACTTTTAATTTGTTCTCATAGGTTAGGTATGTTTCCATGAATGCTAGAGTGTTGAATGATTTGATGTTTCATGTTAATTTTGTCGTATATCCATTGGCTTTATGATTTTGCAAATGTTCTTGTACCATCAACACAGTTTTATCAGTTGTTGGAGGCATCAAGGCAGCCACATCTACAACGACTGAAGGTACTTCCTCATACATATTATAGTTTTCTTCTTTGATTACAACCACAAGAAAATTGTTGATTCTTATGGCTTAAACTAACCGATTTTTTAAATGAATCGAGTATAGTACTACATGTTATTATTTGAAGCAATCATTTAATTTATAGTTAGGAGTGCAGACACTTCCAGGAGAACTTCAAAGAGAGTTCGACAACCTCCAGAATGGTACAAGGATTATGTGGCAATGGAAGCTGAGCTGGAGGATGATGTTATTTAGAAGTAGTATTTGTTTAGGATTTGTTTTAGTTGGTGGGAACTGGGAAGTTATTTAATCGGGATTTAATAAGTATTAAGAATAAAGGGTATTTCCTTGTTGTAGTATTATTTTAAGTCTTTAGAGTCTTTTGAATTAATTAGGAAGACAGTCTTTGAAGTCAATTAGGATTGTTGGCCTGTTAGTTTATTTAAGGATTAACGTTCTCTAAATCATGGAGAGGAGCTTTAATGAAAAAATTTCTCTTTCTTTATCTCTAATATTATTGAGAGATGTTGTTCCCTCATATAGAGCAATTATATCCTAACATTTATCTTCTTTTTATGCAGAGATGATTTTTTGGATATCAGTAGCCATTTTGGTATGCCTCTTTATGTTTGAAAGACTTGGAAGTGACAAAATGGGATATAGTTTTGCTCCCTTACTTTGTGTTTGGTTTGCATTCATAAGTGTTATTGGGATCTATATTATCATAAAGTATGATTCCTTAGTAATTAAAGCTGTAAATCCCTGCTACATCATTGATTATTTCAGAAGGAACAAAAAACAAGCTAGATTTCCCTCGGTAGCACTATCCTTTGCACAAGTATTCCTTTTCCCTTTTACATACAGTGGTACTATATTATTCGGTGCAAGTCTTAATGAAGTTTTATTTGCTTTTAAAAAACGATTTAGGATCCGAAGCACTATTTGTCGATGTTGGTTGCTTCACAGTTCAATCCATACAAATAAGGGGGTGTTTGTCTGAGCTTATGAAAATTAGCTTATAAGCAATAAATACTTATAAGCTAATTTTAGCTTATAAACATTTGAAATTTTAAGCAATTACGTGTTTGGTTAAAGTACTTATAAGTGATTGATAAGTAATTGACGTGTTTGGTAAAATGTGACTTATAAGTACATTTTATTATTAAATGACTAAAAAAAGTACTACATTAAATAAGGGTATATTATGGAATTTTAACATTAAACAAGGATAATGTAGTAATATACTTGGTCAAACTAACTTATAAGCAGAGTGCTTATAAGCAAAAAAAAAAAAAAAATACCTCCCCCCAACTTATTTTTTTTGGCTTATAAGCTCAAAAAAGCTATAAACAAACAGGTCAGCTTAATTTTAGAACTTATAAGTTAGTTTGACCAGCTTATAAGCTTAGACAAACACCCCCTAAGTATGTGCAGTATTGTCTATCCGCATATTGTTTTGGCATATACCGGGTAAGCTTCCTTCGCAAACACCCTGATCTTGTCATGGATTCCTTCTTCAAGTCCATTCCAGGTTTTTTTTTTTTTTTTTTTTGCAAACATATTATTTAAAAAGATTTAAAAAGAAAAAAAAGGAAAACCTTAACTTGAAAACCATTTGGAGTTGAGTTGTATAGATAAATTTTAGTCCAAGTAAATTTTGACTTGTTTCATTAAAGTTGTTCTTCGTTATATATAAAACCTGACATCTACTCCCTCTTTGTTTTACAGAGATTACGGGTTCCGAGGCAGTCAGTTGATGTAGTAGATCACACTGAGATAGATTCGGGAGAACTCAAAACGAATCAGGCACTGTTTCTGGCCATCAAGGCTGTGGCTCTAAGGTATGAGCATGTGCTCGAACAATTTAAAAGCTTAATGTTATGTCAAAACATTCATACTAGCGTAAAAGAAGTACAGACCCAACACTTGGTAAATCAAAAATAGCTTAAATTAGCGACTACCACCAAAAAAAAAAAAAAAAAAAAAAAAAAAAAAAAAAAAAACTTTATATTGAAAACAGTTCAAAGAGTTAAACCTGTTTCATTTACATGCCTCTGAAATCCAGGGGAGGCATCCGGAAGATTGATTTTGCCCTGATATACATCTAATAACTCAGGAACTTCTTCTTGAAATTTGGTTACATACTTCTTAATAAATTTGCTCTGTCCATGTAATAAGAAAGAGACTGGACATATATTTTCTTTGATCAATCCTTTGGAGAGCAGAACCTGAATAATAAAACACCTTGGCGCAATCCTCTTCTCCAAGCTGAAGAAGAGAACAGTTGGCCATTTGGAAATATTTTGTGACAAGTAACCCATTTTGTTAACAAGGAAGTCCATAGTTCTTGTAATCTTCTCCTCAGATAGTTGCATACAATATGGATGCCTTCTGAATGCAGCAAGAGTCTCATCCTCAGACCAACCCCACCTCTTATAAACCTCAAACTTAGATTCCCAAACCGATTCCTTCAATTGGGCAATTGTTCCAACTGCCAGAACAAACACAGTTCGTGTGGGATTAAATCCCATTTCCTCAACCTTATTGACAACCTTGCAGAATTTAGAATGTTTGGAACATGCTACGTTTGGTTTACTAGTTACAAAAAAAGAAATTCGAGATTGAGGCACACCAATAACTTTCAAAAGAGCTATATTTTGACCAAAATTTTTACTCCTTAAATCCTGTAAAAATCCTTGTCCCATGCGCTTCAAAACTCTGACAATTTTTTCGTCGTGAATGACAACACTCCTGAGGAAACTGTAATTGGGGATAAGACGATTCTTTAAACTCATAGATAAAAATGCTGGACTGTTTGCTATGATCTTTGCTAGTTCACTACTTGAAACCCCTATAGAACGGAAAAACTCAATCTTGGGCGAAAGTGTCATTTCGGGATCACTTGAAATGACTCGTGGGTGTGATCTCACAACTTTAGAGATCTGGGTTTCGGTGAAACCATGGTCGCTGAAAAACCTAAGAACTGAGTCCGCTCTTTCAGTGTTCTTCAATTGAATCAACTTAGAAGAGGAAAGAGCAGATTTTAAAGACAACCCACATGAGTTTACCAAGTATGAAACTGTCAAAGACTCTTCGTGTTCACTTTGTTTAGTTTTTAACGATCTCTTCTCTACATGCGAAGATGATGAAAGAAACCTAACAGTCTTTGAGTTTGACAGTTTCGTACTAGATAAACTCCTGGTCCTATTTTGAGAAAAACCCAGTTGAGTAGTAGTGAGATTCAGAGCTAAATCCCTATCAGCAATTAGTTTTCCTGTTGTTCTACAAAGAAAACGAAACATAATGAACTTACTCAACTTTAAACTGCACTCCGGAAACTTCTTCAATTCCAACTGCCAATGCCAAGACTACGAAGGCTGAAGCTGAATATAGAGAATAAGATGTCGTCTTATTTTAGTTGGTGGTTGGAATCCGACATTTTGGCAGTCGGAAAAGGTTAGTTGGGACAAGACGGGATGGTGTTGGTGTTTGGAGAGACGGTGGTGTGGTGGAAGGGTAGAGGATTGGAAGTGCGAAGGAGAGTTCAAAGTTGAGAAAGAGGCGGCTGTGCACCTGTGATTTTATATCAGTAATCCTCTGTGGGCATCTGCATATTAAAGTTATTAATGTGACCATATTTTTCCGGTCGGTTTCGGTCTTATCACTTGACCCGAAAAACCATGGTTCATGGTTTCTGGACCCGATCCATACATGGAACTAATTTTATCCCCATCTTTTGGATCTAAGAGTAAATTTAAGATAGCCACGCATCCAATGTGAGTCCTTGAGTTGCAACTTCTGTCCATCAAAGTTGTAAATAGGTTTAAACATTATTTGCAAAAACAATACATGTTTGGTCTCAAATTGGCATTAATACATTAACAACCCAATTTTACAAACATTCTCTCATAATCTGGACGTGACAGCTCATAATTGGTTTGCTCGCAAATAAGTCTTATTTGTCCCATTGCGAGTTGTTACGTTGAGATTATGAAAAAAAGTTTGTAGTATTAAATTGTAAGCCAATCTTTTTTTTATCCTAAATATTGGGAGACTGTGATAAATCGATCGAAATGATATTTGTTACACAATATGTTCCCCCTTTCTGGGAGCTCTTCTTCTTCCTCCTTCTTTAAGTCTCTACTAAACTAAAGCAAAAATCCTCAACCTAATTAAATTATTAATTCATATAGACAAAGGTTCTTGATAGTTAAGTGCATTTTAGTCCCTAAGGTTTAGTCAAGACAATTCAGTATAATTTAGGAAAATTCTATAAGTTATAAGAAAATAAAAATTAAATGAATAGGGTATTTTAGACTTTTATGAAAAAAAATTAAGCATTGCTAACTAACTGGCAAGGACCTGAGTTGTTACTTTGAGATTCGACTAGACCAAAATGTATTTAACTCAAGTTTCTAATTAGTTCTAACTTTATGTCCTCCTTCTACTTTTCAAATTTGGCCATGTACATCCTATTAATATTTTCCAGTCCCTCATAGTTTGAACTTCTTTCATTTTTACCCCTACGATAATCTACCTTTTTTTAATAATTAAATACGTTTTGTGTTAAAACTAACCAAGAACAAACTTTAATGGGAACACTCTTTTGTTCCTCCAATTACTATTTATCAATTTCTTCCCAAATCCTTATTATCTATATTATACCGGATTTCCATACATTCACACCCTTTCACTTTCTCATAAAGATTTTTATTTTTTTAATTTCGTATCTTAGATTAATGATATCATGATCTTTATGTTTAAATTCTCCAACTTTCTCCTTCATAAATAGCACCTATATATAGGGATAGATCTTGTGTTATAAGTCCACATTCTTCTTCTGCACATTGTTTGAAGCACATTAATTCTAATCCACCAGTATAAGTACTATTTTTCCATTTTTCTTTTCTTTCCAAAGAATTCTCTAGTGCACCAAACTACAACACATATTGATATGCCTAATGTACCTCTAATAATAATTTTCAAGAGTATTTTTTTCATCTGTGCATTATACTCTCCCATATGTCGACACGAGAATGAGATTTGTCTGACATATGAGAGAGTATTTTTCTTCTCATATGTTAATAAATTCAGCAGTGTTAGTCTTACAAAGAAGCCTATAAAGGAGGCATACAAAGTTAACCTCCACCTTTCATCTTCATCATTTCTCTCTCTCTCTCTTTCTTTTTTTCCGTTTTTCCTTTGTTTTTTTCTTCACTTTGTAAGTTTCTTTGTAGAGTTTTTTGTAAGGATAGACTTATTCTAATAAATTTACAACTTTAATTATTGCAGGATCATAGTTTATGATATTATAGATTTCGATAACACTTATGAATGTAAATCAAACACAAAGAAAAGGAGAAAAGCTATATCCTACTTGTCATTGGCTTGGAACACAATGAAAGGCGTATTTGACTAAAGAGATCAAGGTCAAGATATAGAAGATCAGAGAGGGGACCCCAAAAATGTCAGCTACATGATTCATTGATTGATACCATTTGTAAATATACTTAGGGTTCAGTGACGGATCCAGAAAATTTGTTTACGGTGGGATAAAATAAAAACTAATTACATATTAATATTTTTATTAAGGTGGACCAAAATCTAAAAATTATATATATTAATATTTAAAAAAAAAAATTTGAGGGTGGGCCATGGGCTGGATCCGCCCCTGCTTGGGAATACGTATAAAGAAAATCTAAACAAGGGAAGGAATCAGGTATAGCTGTTGCTCTCCCTGATTAGTGATTAGGAATCCTATATTCTCGCTTACCAGCATTAATCCCAACAGATCAAAACCGTCAATAGATTTAAATAAATAATAGTAATTATCGTTTGACAAATAGAGCATAAACCAAAGGTTATTTAGTTATTAAACAATTCTTTTTGAAAACCATTTGGAGTTGAGTTGTATAGATAAGTTTTAGTCTAAGTAAACTTTGACTTGTTTCATTGAAACTCTTCTTCGTTATATATAAAACCTGAGATCTACTTCCTCTTTGTTTTACTGTGATTACAGGTTGCGAGGATGTCGGTTGATGTAGTAGATCACGCTGAGATAGATTCGGGAGAACTCAAACGAACCAAACAGTTGTACAAGAAGGATTCGTTGGAGATTGAATCATGCACCGTTTCCGGCCATCAAGGCCGTGGCTCTAAGGTATGCGCATGTTCTCAAAATATATGCTTAAGACAGAATTTTAGTTAAAGTTTTAATGAATTTATCATTGAATCTCTCAGAATTTCTTCCCGTGATGGCTCTAAGGTAATGATTATGATTTCTTTTACGTACCAAATTAAATTTGAAAGAACTTGTTTTGTTTCTGTTCATTGTTGTTTGTTTGTATGTAAGGTTGTGAAATGGTCGATGATCCTGCAACTGGCGTTTCAGAGTATTGGGGTTGTGTATGGAGATATTGGCACATCACCCCTTTACGTTTACCCCAGTGTATTCAGTAGTGGCATCAATCATATTGATGATATTCTGGGTGTCCTCTCTTTGATCTTTTATACCCTCACTTTGATCCCTTTAATCAAGTATACTTTCATCGTTTTGCAAGCCAATGACAATGGCGATGGTAAGGTTATTTAACTAACTATATGATCTGCATCACACGTCTCCACAAGTGTATTTATTCATAGTTATTTGTATATATTAGGAGGGACATTTGCTCTATACTCTTTAATATGCCGATATGCCAACGTGGGCTTGCTCCCGAACCGATAACTCGAGGACTCTAATGTATCAAATTTCCAGCTTGAGTTGCCCAGTAAGAGTAAACGTATGAGACTGGCATCAACACTCAAGTCGAAGCTTGAGAACAGTCGCTTTGCCCAGTTTTTCCTCTTCTTTGTTACTTTACTTGGTACTTCCATGGTGATTGGAGATGGTATCCTCACCCCTTCTATCTCAGGTTTGCCACTTCTCCTAATTACTTGCTTTAGTATTAGTCTGTTGTGTCGCTGCTGCAGAAATGGATTAGAATGGTCTCATATTGTCTGTTCTCTCATATAAATTATAACTTGTGACAATGAAATATCTATTGTTCCATAATGGATAGTTTTATCTGCTGTGGGAGGTCTCAAGGAAGCTACATCTGCAATTACAGAAGGTACATCCTCATTTTATCTTAGCCGTTTTCGTATTATTTATGAACTGATTACACTACTATTATTGCGTGAGGCAATTATTTGTTTTCTCTTTTGTGTATACAGAGAAGATTGTTTGGATATCAGTGGCCATACTGGTCTTCCTCTTCATGATTCAAAGACTTGGAACTGACAAAGTAGGCTACTGTTTTGCTCCTATACTCATTGTTTGGTTCGCATTCATTAGTGGCATTGGGGTTTATAATATCATAAAATTTGACCCAACAGTAATCAAAGCTGTAAATCCGATGTACATAATTGATTATTTTAGTAGAAACAAAAAAGAAGCTTGGATTTCCCTTGGTGGCATTATCCTCTGTACAACAGGTATTACTCTCTTCAGGTTTTCAACTAGTAAATACTAATTTGAGTAAGTCTTGCATTTTGCTAACAAAATATGATTTGTTAATAGGATCCGAAGCATTATTTGCCGATTTGGGTCACTTCACAGTTCGGTCTATACAACTAAGCATGTGCTCTGTGGTTTACCCAGCCATCGTCTTGGCATATACCGGACAAGCTTCCTACCTTCGAAAGCACCCTGATCTTGTTGGAGACAGCTTTTTCACGTCCGTACCAGGTGAAGAATAAATATATAGCAAGTTCTTTTTCTTAAGAGTTCTATTTTAAACCAAATCATCTATATTTTGATCCATTAATTATTTCTTTGGTGCTTAAACAACTCAGATGCCGTATACTGGCCAATGTTTGTGGTGGCCGTATTGGCAGCAGTAATAGCAAGTCAAGCCATGATTTCTGGAACTTTCTCCATCATTCAACAATCACTTTCATTAGGGTGTTTCCCTCGTGTGAAAATTGTACATACATCGGCTAAGTATGAAGGGCAAGTTTACATTCCTGAAGTGAATTACCTACTCATGCTGGCTTGTGTAGGCATTATTCTGGTCTTCAGGGACACTACAAAGATTGGCAATGCATATGGTAATTCCACAACTCGGTTATAATGATGCAAAAATTTAATTGCACTCAGTCTACCAATCATATAACAAATCAAACTGATGAATTTTTTGCTGCTTACAGGGATTGCGGTGGTATTTGTAATGACACTAACAACATCCCTATTGGCAGTCATCATGATAATGATATGGAGATCCAACATACTTTTAGTAGTCTGCTATGTTCTAATCATTGGTTCTGTGGAGTTTTTTTATTTAAGTTCAGTTCTCTACAAGTTTGATCAAGGAGGATACTTACCGCTTGCTTTTGCTGCGTTTCTAATGACCATTATGTATGTTTGGAACAATGTGTATCGGAAGAAGTATTATTATGAACTTCAACACAAGATTTCGCCCTGTAAGCTATACGAGATAACTGTTGACATAAATTGTTGTCGGATTCCTGGATTGGCTATGTTCTACTCAGAGCTTGTTCATGGCATCCCACCTATCTTCCAACATTATGCCATGAATGTACCTGCATTGCACTCGGTTATTGTCTTCGTTTCTCTCAAATCGCTACCCATTAGCAAGGTCCCCATGGAGGAGCGATTCATTTTCCACAGGGTAGCTCCAAATGAGCTTAATGTGTTTCGTTGTTTTGTGAGATACGGATACACAGATGCACGTAATGAAGAAGAATCCTTTGAGAGAATGCTAGTTCAAAAATTGAAGGACTTTATAAGGGAAGATTATATGATTCTCTCACAAGCAAACATGAATATCGGGGATATTACTGAAGTGGATGCTGAATTGCCCAATCGATTAGACAGTGAAGAGAATGTAAATGATAATGTAATTCGAGAAGAGAATCTAAAAGAGGAAATGGAGAGAGATATAGAAATAGTGGAGAAAGCATGGAATGCTGGGGTTGTTCACTTGGTTGGTGAGAATGAGGTGGTAGCAGCAAAAGGGTCTGGCATTGGGAAGAGGATTATGATAGATTATGCATACAATTTCTTGAAGAATGTTTTGAGAAAAAGTGATAAAGTGTTTGATGTTCCTCACAGGCAAATGCTCAAAGTGGGAATGACTTATGAGCTTTAAATTACCCAGATGACTAAGCTGGGGGAATAGAGCCCTTGGAATTGAACAGGTAGCTGAAAGATTATCAGTTAGAAGTTCTAGTTTTCAGTTTTAGCATTCTTCAGTAAGTAGATGGTGGTCTCTTGGGATAGGCAATTACATTTTGTAAAATAGTTTTATCAAGTAGATGGTACCTAATTTCCGCATATTCACACCCTTTCTCTTTCTCATCAAGATTTTTTTTTTTTTTTTTTTTTTAAATACTGTCATATCTAAGATTAATAATACCATGATTTTTATGGTTAAATTCTACAGCTTTCTCCTTCATAGCACCTATATATATAGTGATAAGTCTTGTGTTATAAGTCCACATTCTTCTTTTACACATTGTTTGAAAGCACATTAATTCCAATCCATCAATATACATACTCATCTTCCTTTCTGCTTTTCTTTCCCAAAGATTCTCTCGTTCACCAAACTACAACGTATACTGATATACATGAATCCATCAATATACATATATTCAGTTCTCTAGTTGGGGATTCATATCAAAATTACATATATTTGATCATCTTCTCATGTCTGACATATGAGAGAGTATTTTTCTTCTCATATGCTATAAAAAAAAATCAATGATGTACAATGGATTTACAGCTTTAATTACTGCGGGATCATATTTAATGATATAGATTCTATAACACTTAAAAATGCAAATCAAATACGAAGGGAGGAAAGCTATATCCCACTTATCATTGGCTCGTAACACAATGAATTAGTGTATACTTGAGTAAAGGGATCAAGGTCATAGTATAGAAGATCAGGAAAACCACACCCAAAATATCATTCACATGATTGATACCATTGGTGAAAGTTGAATAATACATCTAAAAGTTTTATCAAACCATATAATATCGGTGTTGTTCCTTTGTTTGGTGAGACTAAGGTGATTGTAGAAAAAGAATCCGGAATCTAAAGAGAATAACGATAGATTATGCATATAGTTTCTTGAAAAATTGGTTAGAAATAATTTTTTCTTGGATAAATACGAACTTCTCTCGTATTATTACTACCCTTTTCTAAATTTGGCACTCTCTTTGCTTTAAGGGCAAAGGCCCCTAGGACATTACATTTCAAAAAATCTAGAATAAATGACTTACTAATTAAAGCTGCAATAAAAATTATTTACACCAAAACAATTTATATATGGTAATAAAGCTTTAAATTTTCCTCCAAATACAGTAAAAGTAAAAGTGAAAGTGCAGAAGTTACTCTCTCTCTTGCTCTAAAGTTGGTAATCTTATATAAATAAATTTGGTAATCCTTGACTATATCTGGTCAGAATCAGAACCACTAAATCTAGAAAAAGATTTGAAACTCAGGAGGGAACGGAAACGCCCATTTATAGCAGTCTATTAAAATATTCCTCTCTCTATTTGGCAATTCCCTATTATAGTTTTACCACAAGGAGAAAGACAATAATGCCTCTAAATTTCTCTAAAATTGTCAAATCCCATTTCCCAAATCTAGTAAAAACAAAAAAAAAAGCCATCCAAAACTGGGTCCTCAAAAGACCAAATAAGCCATTACTCTAAATTTGGGAATCCATTTACCAAATCCACCAATGGTTGTAAACTACTACTTACTAAGTCAGCAAATGATAATATAAAAAGAATCAGAAAAATAAGATATTAGACTAAAATTCTCACTCTAAATCTGGTAAAGGTAAAACCAACAGCAAAAATACCCCATCTCTCTAAAATTGACAGTTTGCCAGTTGCCTTTTACTATAACCAGCAAAAGAGGAAAAAAAAAAAAAAACTAAAAAAGAAATTGCAGCCAGCTGACGTAGCATGAATCTCATTACCTACAAAAGAAAAGATAATAAAATTCCACACCCACATTCTAATTATAGCAGACATGAACAGTCCAGTCTAAGAAAAGCAGTGTGGAGAAGATAAACTAAATTAAAAATTATTTAAAAAAAAAACCTGAACTTGAAACTGCCCTGATGGGAAACCTAGAAAAGTCAAAAAAATGGAGGTGTGGACCCAAAAAAGGAGACCTATGAGCACCTAGGACACTCCAAATGTGGGAAAAGGAATCATGCAAAGCACAACACACAAACACTCTAAATAGAATACAAAGACAGAGCCATGCAAACTTGCCGTTTCCAGCCTTAAACGCTCTCAAACAAAAGGTATCTCTTTATCTTCTCTAAATTTGGCAATCTGTCACATCTATTTTCAATACCCTTATTAAATGATTCTCTCTTCTCACAAAACCTGAAACACCATATTCCAAACCAAAACAAACCTCTGTGTTCAAAACTGAATTGTTGGGGACAAAAGAATTTTGATCCCTTTTTTTTTTTTTCGTTTGGTCTTTATCAACTGAAGAAATTGAAATGGGGAGAGGTAAGATAGAGATAAAGAGGATCGAGAATGCAAATAGTAGGCAAGTTACCTTCTCTAAAAGGCGAGCAGGATTGCTTAAGAAGGCTCAAGAATTGGCCATTCTTTGTGATGCTGAGGTGGCTGTTATTATCTTCTCTAATACTGGGAAGCTTTTTGAGTTTTCAAGTTCTGGGTAAGTTTTGGATTCCTTTTGGGGATATTTCTGATGGTTGCATGTGTTTGTTTGATTATATTTCTTGATGGGTTCTCTTTGGTTTTTTTGGAATTTTTCATCTACTTGCATGTTTGTTTATTACCCCTTCAATTATGATTCTATCGCTTTTCTATATCAGAATGTTGTTTTTATGTAAAAATTTTCCCCTTTTTTACTTTTTGTTTGGATGATTTTGAAGTTCACTAAATTTATTCGTTGCATGTGTTTTTTGATTATACATGTTGATTTGTACTCAGGTTTCTATTTGAAGCAATTGTATGACAAAATGATTTTTGGATAAATAATTTTTTGGCCTGTGCTAAAATTATGTAGGAATTCTGAAACTTTACTAACTTTCATATATGTTAATTTTTTATTCATGTTGCTTCCTTTTGTGTTGCAGGGGAAATATATTATATATGATTGTTGATGGTTACTCTTTGTTCTTTTCTTCTTTTTAAAAGGATTTTCGTTAATTCTTTTCAGTTAGAATTGTTGATGAACTCTTCTTGAACAATGGATAGATTGATTATTTCTCAATGTTTCCCATTATTTCTTAGAAAAATACTCTGTATTATACTCCCTCTCTGCCTCTCTAACTTTGGGTAGGGGCTGGTTTCGGGGTTTTATTATTTGAACTTTGAGAAATGGTGGCCTCAATTGATAGTGTTGAAATCCAGATCACTGAAATTGGTTTCAGGATCTTACTTCTGTTTGGGACAGTTATGGTCACATTGTTCCATTGTCCTTGCAGAAAGAGGCTTGCAATGAGCTCCACTCAGTAAATTCTCTACGTACTGTGTTTGCTATAGGCTATGGTCTAGTTTTTACAGTTGCAACTTATTTTCTACATGATCTGAATGCCTGTGTGTAGTTTCCTGGGTCGGTTATTCATAATGTGGAACAGATACAAAAACCTGAGATAGTAGCTCTGTTGATGGGAAGGTAGAAAAAGAGGTTTAACACCAAGTGGTTGTTTTTGAGTAGTTAACACCTTGTTGAACTACCCACAGATCAAGCTAACTAGTGATGAGACCATGGCTTGGATCATCTTGGTGCTCTTTGTTAGATGATGGATAACTAGTTTGCAAGATAGACAGCAGCAAAAATAAGTTTTAAGCTTAGTTTTAGAGAGATAGTTGGTGTCTAAAGGTAAAGGTATTTTATGGGGCTATAAAGTACAGATGGTCTTAGAAAGGGGATTTTAGTTTAGGATTAAAAAAAGAGTCCAAAACCAAGATTTTGGTGGTAGTTGTGGGGTTCTGAATGACTATATTAGATCCTTGTTTTTATAAGATCTTGGTGAATTATCTTTATTTTGAATTTTTAAAATGATGATAAAGACAGAAAGTTCTTCAGAGATTGAGGATTTAAGTACAGATGATATTCTTGGTGCTAAAATTTATGGTAAGATTGAGTGGTAATATTGTTATAAGGAAGACATGTTAACCATATTGTATCCTGGTATTGATTGCAAGTTTTCAAAATATTTGAAACTATGTGCTTCATTAATTTGTTTTCAAAAACATTGAACTGTTATTATCTCCTATTTTTGTAGCATGAAGAAAACACTTTCAAGATATAACAAGTGTCTGAATTTTCCAGAGATTGCTGTAGCAGAATACAAATCAGAGGTACTCACCGATGCATGATTTACTTGTTCTGGAGTTTCTTGTGGCAATTAAAACTGCAAAAGGGGCAATTCTATTTCTTTATTATCTTTCTTGTCCAAAAATCCCTGTTGTGACACATTGTTGCCATTCCAATCTTTAGTAAATCCTTTTAAAGCAGTAATGGTATTGCATCTTAGTAATCAGTGCACTAACTTGGTTAAATTTATAAGTCCTTGGAAATTTTCTTTTTTTGGTTCTTTCAATGTTGGTATTTTTCTATGATAATTATTCTGCAGATTCATGTGCTTGGTAATAATGTTTCTATCTTCTCTTTTCTCCTCAGAAGCAAGATACTAAGGAGGTTGATGTTCTAAAAGATGAAATTGCAAAGCTACAAGTAAAGCAGTTGTAAGTCTTCTTTATTCTATTTGAGTTAGTATAAAATCAGACTTTTGGGAAATTGATTTCTGATTCTCATTTATAAAAGTATACTGATAGCTTTGGTTGTACAGGCAACTTATGGGCAAGGACCTGAATGGCCTGAGCTTAAAGGACTTGCAGCTTCTTGAACAGGAATTACATGAGGGGCTGCTATTAGTGAAGGAGAAAAAGGTTTGGAAGATTTCTAATTTTATTTATTGATTTTTTTTTTTATTTGTACCAGTATTAATTTCAGTATGTTGAGAGGCCTTAACTGAAGTTGCACTATTCCAGGAGCAATTACTGGTGGAGCAACTGGAGCAATCAAGAGTACAGGTGAAGTTTGTTTTAGTTTGCATATCCTTCTTAGATTAGGAAGCTGTGCAGTGAAAGTCTGATATCATGGCTGAGAAAAGGAAGAATAGAAAAAGATAATCATAGTCGCATATGAATTTTTCTTATTTCAAGTAATTGTATAATCATCTTGAAAAGAAAAGAATAAATACTCACTGAGTTCATATGCAGGTGAACTGATTTTTAAGTAATTCTTCATGTCATAGCTAACTAAGGTTATCAAATACAATTTTCTAAAATATGTTGGATATATAGATGCATAAATGACAGCCACCCCATAGTTAAATTTAGTTTGCACTTGCGCTTGATGCTAAAAGTGGCAGCATACCTTGCATCTTTCATGGTATTGTGAAGCTGACTTCGTTTTACCAAAGAAAGGCTAAACTTTGTCTGATTTCTTGCTTACAGGAACAGCGGGCGATGCTGGAGAATGAAACTTTGCGCAGACAGGCAAGATATATCATTGTAGAAGCAAGTCTTTTTCATTTTTATTTTTCTTGTCTAGTGTTTAATCTGTTTTTCCATTCTTGAATTATAGGTTGAGGAGCTTCGAGGTTTCTTTTTATCTACTGATCACTGCTCATCAGTCCCACCGTATCTTGAGTACTATCCTTCAGGAGGAAAGAATTCTCTTATGAACCATAGTTCTGCAAGTCCTGAAGTGGCCTCTGATATCGTGATGGAAAAGGGAGATTCAGACACTACCCTGCATTTAGGGTACTATTCTGCTTTTCCTCTATTAAATGTCACCTTTAACTAAATTGCAAAAATCCTGCTGCTCTTATTCCCTAGTCCTTTCGGTGATTTTCTATATAGAAAACCATTCTCTCTAGACAGCACCCTTTTGGAGTTCACGGTAAATCTTTGATCTCTTGTTGGGAAATGTGACATGTTTAAGCAGAAGCGGTTCAAAGCTTCCATTATCTTTGTAAAATTGCCTCATACTTCTAAATTTAAATTTGACATTCGATAGACATGGAAATGTCTGCATACGGTTTTGGTCAGCATGAGCTGCCATAGTTTTCTTCCTACTATTATCTTAATTTCGCAAGGCCTGTTCTTATTAAGATGGAGCTAGATTTCTATTCAAGCATTGATCTCGAAATTGAAATAACTGAAATCAACTTGTTTATCTTTATCTCTTACTAGCTTAATTGTGAAATAAATACGAAGCATTTATTTATTTTTTTTTTTAATTTTATTGACATAACTGTCATTCATTCGCTTTCTTCATACTCGTGTATATATTCTTTGTGTTTGCTTAGGCTGCCAAGCAATAATTACCGCAAGAGGAAGACACCTCAAGGAGAAACCAATTCCAATGACTCAAGGAGCCAACTGGGCCAACTGTGACCCCTTGCCAATTGCCATTACTTTTGATAGAAACAACAGAAATGAAATGTTTTTGTTACAGTTGCTTATAGCTTAGCAGTTTTTCTGAATCATCAAAGCTGGGTTTATATGAGTTTATTGAATCTAATATTTCAGAGGATGTGATGAAAAATCTTGTAGTTACTCTTTACTTTTTTCCAAAGTAATGATCAGAGTACATTCCAAAGTTTAGATCTTGTATTTGTTGATTTACTTTTTTTTCTGGAATTACAAGGGCCTGATCTGGATTTTGCCTCTGTTCTAACCATAAACTTCTATTTCCAGAATTATCAAAACTAACAATCTACAATCTAAGTACATGGCAATATTTAAAAGCTGATCGCTTTGCGCGGTAGATGTGTAAAAGAAACTAAAAACATTTAATTTATGTACAAGTACAAATTAAGAATAAAAATACAATTGTTGCTATGCTTAATTCAGTGTTTTTCGAATGCCATTAAGCAATTCATTTCTCCCAGCTAAAAGTTTGGAGAAGAGATGATCAACCTCCTTTGTTAAGCCGTCCATCAGCTTCTCAAAAACCTCCAATCTTCTTCTCAATTCCTCTACTGCATCACTGCTATTTCCAGCTTCAACTGCAGCTGCAAGGCGAGCAGCTGAATCATTTAGCTCTTTCACCTCCTTCAACACAACCCCTTCGTTAATTGCTTCACATATACTTGAATCCAAATCGCTCAGAGCAGAACTTGATAACCCTCCAAGTCTTTTGATCATTTCCAAGTATGGTTTAGAATCTCCAGATAATCCAGCTAAAATAACGCCACATATCCAGAATCCAACGCTCTTTATATCCGTCAAAGCAAGATGAACAATCTTTTCTTTGTTGGAAAAATTAAAACTTTCTTCACCATCTTCCTTGTTTTGAGTCTCTTTGAAACTATCCTTGCTTGAACTTGAACCCTTCATCTGAATTGTCTTGAGACGCTCAATAGCCGAAGAAGGTGAATTCTCCACAAGGTCTAAAGCATGAGAAAGAGCAAGCCGAGCGTGTCCCAGATGAGAAATAGACGAGCTAATTGAATTGAGAAGCTCCATCAAACTCAAGCTGTAGTTGAGATACTCCTCCACAGAATTCTCCTCCCATTTACTCATGGGGTAGTCAATATCCACAACCAGCTTCGCAAAAGCCTTGTTGACGCTTGGAAGGATCTGAAAACATTTTTGAATCCATGACAGGGACAAGAACTCTGATCCGGGTTTCGACAATTGGGTTAAGCAAATGGAAACATGGGATTCAAAAGCCTGAAGAGAAGCTTGAAAAGCTTCAGGTTCATGGTGGTGGTGGTGCAAATGATTCTCCATCTTGAAGTAGAGTTTGCTAAGCCTTTGTACCAAGAGTACCATGACAAGAAAATTAGTACACTAAGTTCTGAACTTTTGGTTTTGGTTTTGGTTTTGGTTTTGATTCTAGTTCTGGTTCTGGTTCTGATGGTTTGAAAATGAACAAGTTTGGCTTTATATCAAAGTTCGTTCTAATGCTTTTATGAGTTGTAAATCGGTACACGCTTTTAAGATAACTGTGGGCAAAACAGGAGCTTGGAAGAGTCTGACAGCAAAAGGTAGCCTTTGAATAAAAGGTAGCCTTTGAATATTCAAAAGAAAGTAGCCAATTGGTTGGGCAGTCAATTAGTGTTTATCTTGTAGACTGATCGATACACGCTTCTGCACAATTGGGTCCACTTGGCGCTTCTTCCCTAAGCAAAGATTGGAAGGGGTGAAGAAGAAGAGTTTTACTTTTGTTGGTCTTATAATTAAATAACGTATTTGGACAGGATAGCTTCAAGTAGCCTGAGGAAGATACTTCTCAGCTTCTTATTACAGAAGAAACCCAAACACAAGTCAGATAATTGAGAAATCTCACCACCCATTCAACCGTGAGAGTAGTATTATATTTATATTAAGAATTGCATACAGAAATTGTATAGGCTAGTTAAACATGGTAATAAATAACTGTGGGAGTGGTATTATATTTATATTAAGAATTGTATACAGAAATTGTATAGGCTGGTTAAACATGGTAATAGACAACTGTGTATTCTATACAAGGTAAGACTTAGCAAATTATAAAGAGTAAAATCTGTACTAGAATAAGTCATATGGCTGTCAATGAGATGGAGATAAATCAACCTGCTACACTCTCGGCATCCATATCTGTCATGCTTATCTCCATATCAACTGTTTCCATATCAAGAATATTATTGATCGAATGGTGAATGTTATCAATTACTGCCCCATTTGATGCATGTTTTCGTATGGATGTTGTTGGAAACAGAACAACGGCGCTAGTAGTCTCATTAAGGACTGCCCATCGTTTAATCTGAGTGATATTTTTGTTGTAAATAGTATACAAAAATTATTAGTTTCTTGAAGCAAAAAAAAAAAATTCCCACAACCTCCAATGGTACTCTTTATTTTGAAGAGTATTTTTCATATAAATAAAGAGCATTTTCATTAATTTTTAAATATAAAGAATACAATTTTTATTCAAATCCAATGGATTATTTAAATTTAATGAAGATGCTCTTTATTTTTAAAAAAGAAACTTAATGAGAGAGAGAATTAATAAATAAAATGTATAAAAACATGTAGTTTATTAATTAAAATTAGGATAGAGAATGAAATTTGACTCTCTAAATGTGAAGAGTCAAACTCACTCTCTAATTTATATTTTAAAGATAAAAAGTATGTTGGACTTTTGTTTTTATGGATAGACTCTTTATAATAAAGAGTTTGTATCATATAAAGAGTCTTTTGGAGATACTCTAAGCAACCAATTATAACGAGTTACACTAATGACTTAGAGTGCCTAATAAAAACCAGTCTTAGGATTAGTTAGGTAAAGATTATAGTTATCCTAAGAAAAAAAACTTTCTATGGTATAATATACAATCAATCAATTTTGACGTGTTATATTTTTATTTGAGATTAGGGTATTTAAACTAGTTTGTGTATCTCAATTAATCTCGAGGCTTAAAGTTACCGATTGGATAAACCCTTTAGTAGTCATCCTTATGGTAATTGAGGGAAATCGAACTCAAGACCTCTTTAGTAATATACCCAGTAGTTTTCGATCGTCCCACTAAGCTATCTAGAGATAATTAGGGATCAAATAAGTCATATACGTGGTAAGTGACCATTTGGTGAGACTCGAACATAAATATCTGAGTAATCTAGATCTTGCCATTCCGATTCAACCGCGTTGATATGACACTATCTCATGATTGATAACAGCTATTCAAGCTATTAAAAATAAGCTTGTTAAGTAATGCTAAGCTTGAATGTTTAATTAGGATATGTCTTAAAGCATCTAAGAGAACACGATTCCACCCCTATTTAAATTTACGTGTTAGTTGAATTTGTGTCAATATATAATGAAGCAACAGCCATTTGGGACCATTTTTTTTCTTTTGTAATTGCTTCAAAGGCCTATAAATTAAATACTGGCGGCACTTTTATTATATATATGTTTTTTTGGCTGATGGGCCATCTGGTTTGACAAGATTTTATTTAATACTTAGAAAAAAAATATTAAAAAAAATTAAAACCTCATTTATATAGAAGTCAAGTCAATTGATCCCCAATCGCGCGTTGTGGAAGTGGATTGGATGAATTGTAGGAGAAAAAATGGAGCCATCATTGTAAATGAATTACCCTCTATGTTTTGAATTTTTAATAGGCTCATTTTTTTTGTTTTTATTTTTTTTTTTAAGTCAACATGAACCCCTCACATGGTGTTAAATAGAGAAACTTGTTCAACTCCTCATGAGCCTGGCTTTCTCTCTGGGTTCTGTTTTCTTGACATGGATAGAAAAAAGACGGTTACAACAACGTCTACTAATATATTGAAAAACATTGTTAAAATACTTTTAGACATAGAGTTTTCTCGAAAACGTAAGGAAATTTGTGGAAAACAAATCTTTTTTTTTAACCCGGCGACATAGAAGGAATAGGAAAGGCCATATAGAACTATTTAATTTAAAACGAATCAGTCGACGTACTCCAAATCATATCGAACTATCAAAATTCTAAGAATTTTACACGGGGGATGGTTTAGGGTTGTGTTGGATAGTAATGGCCCAATAAGCATGATGGGCTGATCTTCAGAGAAAGGCTGATAGTATCATAAAAGGGGCTAGGCCCAAATCATTTTTCAAATCCAACTTTAGAGAATAGAGATGGGTTTGGCTGTGCGCCAATTCGACCAAATGAGGGGAAGATTAGAAGCTATTGAAGCATGTCTTCTAATTTCATTTCATCTTCAAACTTCTTAAAATGACTATTGCCCCCATTGCTTTCACATTTATTACTACCTATACTACTAAGATGGACCTAATTTTGAAGAAACGGTTAACCAAAAACAAGACAAAAATTCCCTTTTTTACCCTTTTATCGAAAGACCTATACTTTTTGATCGACAAATTACTCATCATTGATAAAATGTTCCTCTTCTATGAATGTGAAAGCTAAATGATTAATAATTTCCACATCAAATGATATACAATTGCAAAATAATATTAACATCTAGTACTTAGTGATAGATACCTAATATTGAAGAAACATTAGACCAAAAGACGATCAATAATTCCTTTTTTTCTCTTCTTCTTTTAAGAATTTTACTTCTTTACTAACCGAAATATTGTTCGATATGTTGATGTAAACATAAGACTACATTAAATCTCATTTTCTGAAAATTTTACTATAATAATATTCACGACAAAAAAGCTAAATGATTCATAGAATCGTCACATCAAACAAACACAATCCCGCGATATAATAAACCGCTTTCTTTTTGGGTTTGTGTTTATCTTGTTGAACTATTTGGATTTAGTACTTAGACTACCAAATAATAGTTTGCTTGAAGGTATAGCATTCAACCACTGCCCACAATTTTGTTAATTTAATTTTTAATATATTATTGGTACCAAAAATAGACTGGACTAGACTAAACCCATAACACCGTTACAAAAAAAAAACCAGATAAAAAGCAAGGCTGCTTTTGTTTCTCCTCATTCATTCTGTTAAAACTTTGAAAGAACAGAAAAAACGGATCTTGAGAAGCTTCCAATTAATATATATTTCCAAATCAAAGAAACAAAAGGATCCTCCACCCACCACCTCTCCTTCAATTATTTTTAATCTAATCCTTTCGAATTTGGCCCACTTTCCTACTGTTTTTATTTATTTATTTTTATTTTTCACTTTCAAAATTGCCCCATTTCAATGATTGCATCACAAGAACAAGGAATTGCTGTGCCTTTTGTCATATTGAGTGTCCATATCATCATATATGATAAAAATAATAAATAAATAAAGATGTCAGAAATTATATTTGTTCACATCGCCAATTTGATAAGTTGTTATGTATAATGTGATTGGCTCTCTCTTCCCTCAATTTAGCTTTTAGGGGTGAGTTCTACCAGACTCTTATCATGGTGTCAGCCTTAGTTGTGCACAGACATCACCCTGTGTTGAAATTGTATTATCCATAACGCGTACATCGCCATTGGTAGGAGCACGAAGAGAGGTGTGTTAAGGTTGTATTTATCTCACATCCCACTCAGTCTATTATTAAGAGTTATATTTATCCCATATCGCACATCGTCAATTTGGTAGTTGTTATATATATATATGTGGTTGGACTTACTCCTCTCTATTTTGGATACCATTTATAAAAGAGATTAATAATTGCATTTTAAATAAAATGTTTGTTGAGATAAATCAAAACTAAAAATATTACGAAATCTTAGAGAATATAATTTAAACACTTTGTTTAGATTCTTAAGATAACACAAGAGTTTATTCAATGAAAATTTATTTTCAAAGATCTATTTATGCATTATCCTTCAAATCTTTTGTATAAATATACTTATTATGTTTTAATTTTTCATCCAATCTTATCATTTAAATACAACTCTCTTGGTTAATAATACTTAAAGATAAAAAATATGTTTTTTTTTTTTAATTTAAATCTAATTTCAGATACATACTGTTATCCAAATAATTAACTTTCAATTCAATTTATACATTTTCTCATCTTAATATTAAATTGCATGATGGATAATAAATTACAGAACTTGTCTAGAGATAATATTATAATTGTTGACTAAGAGCTCGAATAATTAACAATAACAGTATATAGATTAAAAAATCACCGAATTAGAAGAAGAATATGTAAATCACCTATTTTAGAAATATCTAGCTTAATTAGTATAGTTATTTATAATTAATCCATTAATAATCTTCCATAATTTGGGTATGTCTAATATGTCGAGCTCCCTATGTTAATAAAATTTATGAACACT